GACATTTTGCTTTGAATAGTCCATATATTCACATCCACACCAAAATTTAATCACTCAATTTTTCGAATTCCTTTTATTGTATCAGTTGTACACCTGCCAATGCCTTACATCTTCTGGAACATCACACTCTTATACCTGACAAAGAAAATGCATACCATGTATTAGTGGTTAAATGGAAATATTATGCTAATATAAATATGGGGGTTTGGTTTTTAGCGTCACATTGTATAGATGTATTAAAAATAATTCCCAATCAGTTCCGAAAAAAGTGAAGTTAGTACATATAAAATGCTGTACAGCTTTACTGTAATTGCACTAATTTAGATATTCATCATATAACTATTGTTTATGCCTACAGTAATATAGTAAACCTATTTTTTTACGTGGTCCTAGAGATATTTAGGTGTGGGACCTGGCCTCCATGCAAACCCGACTTTGGATCGTCACCAATAATTCAAATTTATCTTCCTTGTAACTTGATTAAACTTTCACGAAAGTTTCATTCAGATCATTTTATTAGTTTTTTTAAATATCTGGTCTGGGACGTTCTTGTTTGAATGATTCTTATATCCATACCCTTTTTTCAATGAAACATGACAAATTATAGTCAAAGGGAAATTTTGATCCATTGATTATCCTTAGAGATATTTAGGTGGGACCTTAGGATTTTAAATGACCCTCAAATTCACACCTTTTTTTCATTGGGCTATGCCTAATACTCACTGTTATTTTTAGTCATGTCTGTGCAGCCGTTTCTTGAGATAATTCAAACACAAAGTCAATAAAACACCTCAGAAATCAGGAAAGCTCATTTCCCGCAATCTAGGAATAAAATTTTTCCAGGGGGAGATCCCCGCACCCCCTTTCTTTTTGAGATTTATCAATACTTGGAATAAAGAATATGTATGCAACTCAATTTTTTTTATGTATACACTTACTGTAATAAGAATGAGAAAAATTATCCTGACTATTTTCAAGAGGGGAAAACCTTGAATTTTGAAGAATTTCAAATTAAAGTAACTTCAGAAGTCGTGAAAGCTCATTTCCCGCCATTTAGAAATCAACACTTTTCCGGGGAGAACCTGAATCCCCCTTTCACGTTGGGGTTCATTGATTTATGGAATCGTTTTCAAAAATCGAGAACCTTGAATTTTGGAGTACTTAAAAGTCGTTAAGAGACTCTTCAAAAGTCGGAAAAGTCATTTCCCGCCATCATGGAAAAAGAATATGTATGCAACTACTCAATTTTTTTATGTATGTGTACACACATAACAGGCCTTTTTAATGTAATAATTAAGAATGAGAACATTAAGCTAACCGTTTTCAAAAGAGGGAAATCCTTGAATTTTGAAGAACTTGTCATTATGATACACCCAGCTTAAAAGTTGGGAAAGCTCATTTCCCAGCCTCTAGGAATAAAAATTTGAAGATCCTCGGATTGCCTTCTTTTTGGGGGTTTTAGGGAAAATTTTGACCCCCACCCCCCTACATTTGAAGCCAGATTTCCCGATTCATATTCCCATCCATTTTACTAGTTGGGCCCCCTCCCACTTTGAAAACGTTCCACCAGCCCTGCATTCTCAACCAACAATAGTTCTTTCCAGAACTATCTTTGTTGTGTACAGCAAGCATTAATTATAAAATGCATACTATCATTTTCATTCTGCATGTAATGTTTAATTATTTTATGATTAGTAGTTCATAAAATTAAAATTTAATTATTTGACCAAATTTATATTTTTTTTTCTAGAATTAGAACAATTAAACATTTTGATATTTATGGTGCATTTTTGTATTTTCTCATCCTAAATCTAATTAATGCAATTTATTTTTCTATAAATTCTGAAGAAAATTTAGACATTGCACCTCTGTAACAAGTGGACCAGCCCTGCTTTGCTGAATGGGCGAATTTTGCTTCCTCTACTGAATGGTGAGTCTGCTAGAAAAACTTTGTGAATTTTCTTATTATAAATTTCATGTCCATTGTAAATTGCTTTGTGGAATAAATAAATGCTAACACTGATTTCTGATTTGATACTTGTTTCTGAAATTATTTGATTAACATGTAATAATAAATAACTTTAAATTGTATTAATTTTCGTAAATGTTTCAATTAAAAGTAACTTTAAATATTTTCCCTTTCCACTGGACTTATAAATTGTATTAATTTTCGTAAATGTTTCAATTTTTAAATATTTTCCCTTTCCACTGGACTTACAAATTGTTGTATTAATTTTTGTAAAGTTTCAATTAAAAATAACTTTTAAATATTTTCCCTTTCCACTGGACTTATAAATTTTCAATTAAAAATAACTTTAAATATTTTCCCTTTCCACTGGACGTATAAATTTGCGCAAGTGTTTCAATTAAAAATAACTTTAAATATTTTCCCTTTCCACTGGACTTATAAATTGTTGTATAAATTTGCGTAAATGTTTCAATTAAAAGTAACTTTAAATATTTTCCCTTTCCACTGGACTTATAAATTGTATTAATTTTCGTAAATGTTTCAATTAAAAATAACTTTAAATATTTTCCCTTTCCACTGGACTTATAAATTGTATTAATTTTCGTAAATGTTTCAATTAAAAATAACTTTAAATATTTTCCCTTTCCACTGGACTTATAAATTGTTGTATTAATTTTCGTAAATGTTTCAGTTAAAAATAACTTTTAAATATTTTCCCTTTCCACTGGACTTGTACATTGTTGTACTAATTTTCGTAAATGTTTCAATTAAAAATAACTTTAAATATTTTCCCTTTCCCACTATAGCTTTTCTATAGCTTATTGCTCTAATTTCTTATTCTTTCAGATTGTGGCAACTGATTTGGCAATTAAAGCTTTCAATTTCAAATAAATATTCATTGTAATGTTGTATAATTTTGGAAGTATTTTGAATAAATATTCATTGTAATTTAGTATTGATTATTTTGAATAAATAAATATTCATTGTATTCAGTTTAGTATTGAGTATTGTTTTTTTCTCGAGTCGAAAAATCAGGATGGCAAAAAAAAAAAAGCGCCCTCGAATAGAAAAAGGCCCTAAATATGACTAAGTTATTTGGCCACAATAATCTGTCCGGTTCTGATAAAAATAGTGAAGAAAATCACCCTAAATAGCCATTTTAATTTAAAGTTTTTTAGGGTGTCTTAACTGTCAATGGCAGTAAGCGCCCTCTAACATCCAATTTTTTTCAGAATGGCATAAAAACTGGTTATTAGAGGGCACTACCACCTTATTAATTAAATTAATGACAAATAAGAGACCACCGAAAAACGTTGAACTAAAATGGCTATAGAGGGCGATTTTCAGCACCACACAGGACCCCTTTAAATAATTTTAGAGACCCTGGAAATTTTGGGCTTTCTATTGGAGGGCACCCTTCAGCACCACTTCCAATAGAAATCGAGGGACACAAAATTAGCCTTTTTCTATTGGAGGGCGCTTTTTTCATCTTACCTGCATCCATCAGTCATGCCATCCGTCTTCAAACTTGAACAGCAAAGAAACATCAAAAGACTAGTGATATGTTTTTTTTTATGATCGTCATAACCAAAATCGTGTAATGAAAATTATTCAGCATCAAAAATTCATTATATGGAAAGTTCAAATGCAAGTTACAGTAGTTTTCTTGTTCTCTTATCTTCTGTACAATATAATCAGTTTTCCAGGATGAAGCAATTGTTGTCTTGATGCTGCAACAACTTACCTGCATCCACTTTGAACAGCAAAGAAAAGTCAACACACATACTTATATTTTTTATTATCTTCATAACCAAAAGCACAATGTAAATTATTAGGTATCAACAATTCATTATATAGAAAGTTAAAATGCTCTGCTAGTAATCATAGTAGTTTTCTGGTTCTCTGGTCTGATTGTAATTAGCCAGTTTATATCTTCTGTACAATATACTCAGTTTTTTTTTCAGAATTAAGCAATTGTTGTCTTGATGCTGCAACAAATAATATAGACTTGCCACAAGTCTCTAATTATAGGCTTTCCTAGTATTAGCTAATTTTGGAAAGTGCCACCAGCGTCGGTATATATCGAGAAACTTTTATGCGAAGAAAAAGTTTACTATGATATGCCAAGCAAATAGGTAATATGGAACGCCATTGGTGCTAAAATCGATTTCCCAGCTTTTTTACAGATTAAGACAAAGATTAGGGACTGGGACCCAGTCTACAAATAATACAACTGCTTTTACCGGGTTTACTGCATCACAATATTCAGCAAGATGTTAGCCAAACTTTGTATTGTATTAGGCATGACAAATTAAATTAACTAAATTAAATTAAATTGCCTATATTAAACAAAATTAATTATAATAGGTTTCTCTTCCTTGTCTTCCTCTGCAGCAGTACTTTTCCTGTCTTGCAACTGAGTTGCTGCATCCACCAAAAACAGATTCTAAAAAAAAAATTAGACACAAACACGAATTTAACAAAATTAAAGTAATAATAAAGTTAATAATTTCATAAAGCTTCAGTATATTTCACTTAATACTTACAGTATTAATTCTTTGATGTACATCAAAAGTTACTTATCTTGCAGAGAGTTGTCTGTCGCCTGCAAAAAAAAAAAAAAAAAAAAAAATTACAGATATTGTTTTTGTATTCTCAGTGACTTTCACAAATACTGATTTGGGAAAGTGCAAGCTCAATGTTGTAGTGGTTAAGCACCAGGCTAGTTATCTGGTGTGTATATCCTATTTCCATGTACCACTGAATACTGTAATGCCATTCAATGCTGTTTTTTATGTTAGGAATGTTTTAGTTCATCATACTGAATGCTCAGCATGTTCCATAATAATTGCAAATAAAGTAATTTGGGTAGGAATTGAACTACTGAGCTTATGTTATAGCGAGTCCAATTTCCAAGTAGCAGCAAGTAGGCCAATGTGATGATTTTTAATTGTTGTTATTTTTTTCCAAACCCTATCAAATATAATTCTCACAAACAGTATTGTATTGCCCCATTAATATGGGAGGGGGAGGGGGGAAAGTGGGTTCCGCAGCTCCCCCCCCCCCTTTGTACACAGTGTTAACATTTTAAAGCTTCTTCTTGAGCCAATACAAATTCTTTCCTGGGATCACTCAAAATGTATACTTCTAAAACATGTAAATATGCATCAGTACACATTATACATAGGCCTAATAGAACACATAGGCCTAAGCTTGATTTTAAAAAATCTTAAATCCATAAATCTCAGGCCAGGTCTTTTAACATAGAAATGCGATACTGTGGTTCAAATTCGTTTTTATCCTTTTCCAAGTTTCTTTAAATTTTTGTTTAATAATACTACTACTAATAGTAATAAGTACTAATAATAATAACGATGATGATGATGATGATGATAGTAATAATTGATAATAATATTAACAGCAATAAAAAGTGAAGGAAATTGTGCTAAATGTGAAAAAAAAGGATCATAATATAGTATAGTTAAAGCTTAGTAAGCTATATTTAGGCCTAAGTTTTCCTGGGTATTAAGTAGATCCCTGATAAAAGATCATGAGAAATTTGTTGGCGTTTTATTTTGACTATAATGGTGATGTGATGATGATGAATTTTACTTATATGAAAGTGTCATTTCCGGCCATCTCGAGAGGTACTATTTCCTCAAATTTTCTCACCTCAGCCCAAGCCATAGTGGGGCTGAGGTGGTGGTGAAATAACATTTTTGAAGTAGGCCTATGTAAAGTACATACTCAAAGACAATGTTTTTAAGCTTTGTTTTCTGTGGTATATCACACACACATTAATAAGATTTCTATGGTTGTCAAAAATCCCTGATAAAAGATCATGAGAATTATTTTGGCGCTTCATTTTGACTAATGGTGATGTGACGATGATGAATTTTACTAAAAGTGTCATTTCTGGCCATCTAGAGGTACTATTTCCGTAAATTTTCTCACCTCAGCTCTAACCATGGTGGGGTTGAGGTGGGTGTCGACTCACAAAAAGCCCTCTCCCTTCACCTTTCAAAACAGATCTGTGCCCTCCCCTGGGTATGACATTAAACTCCATCGAGTCGGCTCCTGATGTATGTCTTAGTGACTGCTGTTTGTTTTTAGGATGTGATCTGGTTTTTCATGTCCATTTTTCGTGATTTTTCTATTCTGGATAAAGAATGTTTTGAGCAGAGGTGGATTCAAGGCCCTCCCCCCTTCATTTTTTAAGGAAAAAAAGAAAAATATATTCAAATTGAAGTGCGAGAGTGTAATTTCCGGCCGTCTAGAGATGCCCTAATCATAAATTTTCTTACCTCAGCCCCAAACCATGGTGGGGCTGAGGTGAGTGGTTCCTCAGTCTGTGAATGTCCCTCCCTGGTTCACCTCTCTTTCGAATTCCTGGATCTGCCACTGTTAATTTATTATATAATTATTTTTGCGCTTTTTTATAATGCGTCTATTGCAATTTTCACTTTATCCTCTCAAACAGTCCTAAGAACGTTCAGAGTGCGCTACTTCACAGGGGGGTTTGACCCTGCTGGGGTCCTACGTAATTCGCATAACAGCTCCCCCCCCCCCTTTCAAAATCCTGGCTACGTCCCTGTTCCTTTACCAAGATTATTGCACTATTCAGCAAATGTTCTAACAAAACTTCAGTACACTTTTCGTGACTTGCTGCATGGGTCATGTTCTGTTGCTTCATCTGCCAAAAAAAAAAAAGAAGAAACATTAAGGTTGAGACATGATAGATTTAAGGAACGAAGAAATTATATCATCAGTCAGAAGATTCAATGGACTTTTTTTATTTTTGTTTTTTGTTTTATGGGGTAGAAATAGGGAAGGTCCAACACTATAGTTAAGCATTATCTCAGACCTCCATGGCCGTTTTACGTAGGACATGGCTGGCGCAACCGGAGGACCCCCCCACTTTTTGGCAGAAAATATATAATGTTTATGGAGATTTTTGTATGATCAGAGAGAAATGCAAGAAAACAAGGAGGAGATCGAGCAGAAAGAAGTGTTTATCCAGTCCCCAACCGAGTTACATTTTCTCGCAATTCACATTGGCGGATCTGGGGTGTCTTAGTTAAAAAATAAATAAAAACTTCTAGGTCTACCGTTTCAGGACCCGTTAGCTGATTTTTAAATTTTTTTTTTAAAGAAAACTAGAAGTCAGGAAAGCTCATTTCCCGCCATCTAGGAATCAAAATTACTTGCATTGCATTTCAATATTTGTTTAATTATGCAACTGTACGACTTTGGAAAACAGTACACAAGTACTGAAAGTGCAGTAAAAAGACAATAAATAAATAAAATATCCTTGTACTATAAAAATAAGAAAATTATTAGTCTAACATGATTTTGCAAATTTATTTTCATCGGCGTGTAAAAGTATATAGAATGCACAGGCCTACCTAATCGCATCAAAAATCCTTTTCGAAACAAGCCGCGTTCGTCCGCCTGAGTCTATTTCCACCATGCAAAGCACACCTACAAAGAAACTGACTTGTATTGTTTGATAACGGAACTTAAAAGTCTAAAAAAAAAAATACAAATTGCAATTGTTTTATTTTAACACATACAACACATAGGCCTACCTCGTTTTGTTAATACGTACAAATATACCCCATAATCATAAATTTTTTTTTTTTAAACAATGGCATTTTTTTTTTTTGCTAAAATACAGCTTGTCCACAATATCCGTCGTCAACTCATGTCAAGCGGTTCTTTGGAATTCAAAATCTGCTACACAGGTGGGTGCGTCCAGGATATTAGGTGAAAATGGCCACAAGAATTACTAAAGTTTAATTATTGGAATAAATATTCTTTATCCAAGGGTATAAATAGAGATTATATATTTGCTTTTCCAAATTGGCGTGTACAAATATACACAGACACATACGAAAGGCACCGAAATTATATAAAAACATTAAAAAGGATATTGACTGGGAAAACATTTCAGGATAAAAACCCTGGAAAGTACAAAAAGCAACTTATTTCCAACGTGGTCCCAAATGAGAATACTAAAATACCAGAAAAATAATAATAGAACTATAAATATGGAAACAATACAATAAATACATTTTAAATACTACAGAAAATTCAATTTTGAAACATCATCAAATTTAAACTATATTGTATTATGAAGTTCAGATATATAATGGTTCTTCTTGAGTTCCTAACAGTACCATTATTAAAACACAGGGTTATTTTCCAGTCAGTTGTCCAGGTAACACAAAAACAAATCCTTTATTTAACACTACACCATGCCATCACTGTCACGGAGAACAGAAACTGGATGCGAGTCAACAGTACCTGTGGAAACTGGCATTCTCTTAGTAAATTTTACAAGCTGCGCTCATAATAGAAAGAAAATGCCCACATGTAAGCGTTACCTGACTACCCTCTTCATCTGTGCAGCAGCAGTCATCTAATGATGCTACTTTCCTTTCAACCATGCAAGCACTTATGTCTGGTTTATATTTATCCACTTCTGGATCTTCATTACTACCTTCTTCATGGAAAAGTAGATTTGGTTGACATGACTTGGAATAAGATAAGCCGGCACATTTGTCTGTACTGCCTGCAGTTTCTGGCAATGTGTCCAACTCTGACTCCTATAACAATTATTATTGGATTAGACAATGTTAAAAATTGACAATTTCTTTCCAATACCTACTGTATTGATGACACATATAACAAGTTACAGGAGTGGGTTTGCTTACCATTTGAGATGGGAATGGAGCTCTCACACTAGGGTTTACTGGTTTTGTGGTTGCATTTGGTACGGGTTTTAAAACTGGATCCCTAAAGCTGACCGAACATTTCTCCTCAGGCTCCAACGTATTGCTTCAGAATTTCAGCCATAGCAGTTCTCGGCTGACTTTCGCAAAGTAAAAGTACCTACTCACGCCCACATCCATCTGTAAACTGTTCTCGTAGCAAAATGTCATAACTTGTCTGCATCTGCTAATTTTATCCATCTAGTCCAAACCGCAAATTAATGCCCACTTTCTCCAGTTTCAGGTCTTGCAAGATGTAGATGTCAATCCCATCATGTCAACTGGAAATGCTTCAGTAGAAGAGTTTAAGTAATCTGTATTCATTTGCTTCGGCTGTAGATAACCTAAAATAAACTTAAAAAGATTTTCCTGTTAATAAAGAACTTAAATTTACTGCCAAATCATGTGGCATACCTTTCATATCGTTTTAAATAAGAATCCAGATAAATCGTGCCTTCATTAAATGCTGGTAATTTAGGTCTACTTGCTTTAAATATGGATGATCCAGTTTAGGGACAAGTAATATTCTGCCCGACTTAGGTTTGTTCTTTTCATCAGTGTTCTTGTATAGTATTATTTCCTGGACGAGTAGTCCCCAAAAATTGTCACACAGCCTCTCAGAAGCTATCTGACAAAGGTCCGAACATACTCAAGAGACACAAAAGTTTAGAACACAAATAATTACCAAAAATGTTTACTGATATATTTCTGAGAAAGTGCACCCACCAGCCTAGTGTTGGGGAATCAAGTGGGGCCGATGAAGATAACACTATCCTAGGGGGTCCATTTTTTGCGACCAATGTTTTCTTTTTTTCTTTCTTTTTTTTTTTGCTTTCCAAAAGGAAGGGGACAGTAAATCCGCCCCCCTGATTTCCATCATCATTAACATGTTTTCAATCATCTCATTAACAAAGCCATAGCAGTTAACAAATAATAATGGTTACGCATCAATGCTGTAACACTACAACTTTATCAGTCGGCCCTTCCAAAACTTTAACGAAATATTGTGTTACCACTAAAATACAATAATAATTTGTTCACGATTTCAACATTTTCCTTATGGCCTTTTAGCTCTATCACATTAGATTTAATCATCTACATATACATATATATATATATTATATACATATATATATATATATATATATATATATGACGAAAAAATGAGAGGTTCAACAGTAGCTTTGATTAGACATACATATATATATATATAAAATGAAATATATATAGTATATACAGTATATATATATATATATAAAGATCTTTATATATTTATTAGATATATATCTGTATCTATTCTATATTCGAGTTCAAATGGTTTTAAAATTCCTATCAGGTAGATATATATATATACATATATATACATATACACTGTATACATACATATATATATGTATATATATATATGTATATATACATATACCCCATATATATACATATATATATGTATATATATATACCCCATATATATATACATATACCCCATATTAGCCTATAAATACAATATACAATTAGCCTATATATAATACACAATAAATGATTAGCCTATATATTATACAATTCTAAATCAGACTGTCATAATCAATTAAGAAATTGTTCTTGATTTTTTAAAATTTTAAACAGAATTCCATGGTCGAAAATGTTTTCAGTAGACCTATTGTTTTAAAGCACTTATTTACATCATCTTTATTTTGAAAAATGAATTATGTTTTGTTAACAGTTTGTATTTGTATTCCAGTTTGTAAAAAAAAAATGGAAACCCTGTGTTCCTCCTCCTATTAGAACAAATACAGAGAAGAGATAAGAAAAAGTTAAATATTGATAGAACAAAAGATGAGGGGCAGGTCAAAGAAATCAATAAACATGTGAAACAAGAAAAAAGCAATAGCACTGATTCCCAGAAATGGCACTTTTAAGACTGCCAAAAAAAATAAATAAATAAAAAACTTTTTTAAAGCAGTGTTCCATGCCAAAATTATTGGCTTCTCCTCGTCAATGTTCTGCAGGGCTACCGAAAAATGTTTGAAGCTGTCTCTTATACACATCTAGATGTGTATAAGAGACAGAGATCTTCAGGGGAACTGGTAAGGGGCCCATACAAACTGCAGGTAGCATTTTTCTAAATATTAATTACTATTGTGAGCCCTCAATAATGTCATGGGTCCTCTAATTATGGCCCCCCTCCAGATTGACTGGACCCCCTTCAAAAAATTGTTGTGCCTTCACCGCAGTTTCCCCTCTTGGCGGCCCTGATGTTCTGTACCGCTTACCCAGGGCTGATCCAGGATTGTTATTTAGAACTCAAAATATGTTTTTAATTTAAAGCAATAGTCCTTTTTTTGGTACATAGTATCTGGTTTTTATCAAAATAATTAATAATTTAAAGTATCATTGATTATTCCGAGTTTTGGATGGCGGGGTAATAAATCGTGTTTATTACTTTATTATTATTTTATCCTACAAGAATTTTCAAGAAATATGGCACAATTACATGAAAATTACTACATGTTACGTATGCAAAAATTATAACCAGCAGGGTTTTGGAAATTCAAGTTCGCTTGTTCACAATATTTCAACAAATTTTATAACATCAGCGTCGCAGACTTACAAACGAACATCCAGATCATTTCAAAGGTTCCTACTACTTTACAGCATAGGAACCAAAAAAACAAGAAACGGGGAAATTAATCAAAGTGTATTGGTATTACAGTACCTCGAAATTTCAACCATAAATATTGAAAAAAAAATAATTTCATGAGAAAATTTATCTGTTATTTAGCGATTATTCACAGCCATAATTACACTGTTCACATTTTTGTAGACTCAAACACTTATTAACAAAATAATAAGCCTGGTAGTATGTGTATTACAATGCATTATTATAGAGTATAGTTTGTTTTAATAATATAATATATTCTAATCAAAGAAAACCAACTAAAAATAGAATCAGAGGCAATATGAGAAGCAGAAAGACATGACACGAAATTAAGGACTGAGGATAGGTAAGGGGTCATCCATAACTACCAACATTTTAAAAAGAGTACAAAACATACTTTTTTCTGTTTTTTCATTAAAAAGGAAAAGAAAAGAAATTGTAAGAAATATAAGAATGAAATAAAGACAGATACGAATTATAAGAAAGAAAATGAAAGGAAAGATAAGGAATCTTAGAAAGGAATGTGAAAGATAAGATAAGGAAACATAAAAGTAAAGATCAGGAATATTTGAAGGGAAAGGAAGAAAGACAAGAAGCAAAAGTGAAAGAAAAATGAAAGGCTTTGGGATGAATAGGAAAGTAACAGGCCTTGAAATGGTTCCAATTACCAAAGCATTGTAATAATAACATTTATTGATAATCATCAAACCAATCATTTGAACTTAATTAATTTTGCTGCTTCTCTGTTGTTGTTAAGCGCCTCGAGGTTGTGTCAATGTGAGCGGTTCTCTGGAATTTCATAATTCACGCTATGCTACACCTGTCTCTTATACACATCTAGATGTGTATAAGAGACTCATTTTGAGATCAACATTTTATGTTTTTCATAAAAGAGTACTTATGCCTACAATTTCAACCCCTCCCCCCTAAAGCGTATGTTTTGTACTCTTTTGAAAATGTTGATAATTATGGATGACCCCTAACTGAACTGAACAGATTAAAGAAAAAAAGAATAGGGCTGAATAATTTTTTTTTTTAAAGCCGTAGACTATTTTATTCGCATATTAAGACTGATTAAATTCAGATACAAGAAATCATATATTTCATAATATCTTTATGTCTTTAATGGTAGTGCTTTAATTGCAACTTGTTTGATGAAATTTTATCATTTTAAATACCTCACTAACCATGTTAATGTAGGTCTATGGTTCATAGATAAAATTGATAGACTTTATTTTGATAGACTATATTATTTTAATTGATTTATTTTGAATACTCAGTGTTAAAAAGTCATTCAAGTCTGGTCCAATGCCGGCATATCTATAATGGGGATATGTTCCCCACAAAAAATATATTCGGCCCCCCCCCACCTCCCTTGCCCTTATTGAAAAATGTTCGAAGCAAAAAAATCCCTACTTAAAAATCTACCTAAAATCACCTAATATTGCAAGCTAGCGCCTGGCTACCTAATCATCAAGCACCCACTTCACCTTCGCGGGCCACGCCCTTCCAAAAAAAAATTTTTTTTTTGGAAGAGGGGAGGGGAAAGAGGGAAGGGAGACACTAGTTTCAAAATAGGTAGGTGTAGTAAAACACATAATATTGATTTGCATTGAAATTTTTAAAATTTAGTGGCAAAACATGCCCTTACTGGGTCCGCCCCTGCTAGATAAACCCCTGGTATGGCCCTTAGATATTAGTAGATAATAAATATTCTATCTAATGTGGCCTAGGAAAGAAATGATTAAAAGCAGTTCTCTATAATCACAACTATTCTTGTCGAAATTGCCTAGTCCTAGTTCATTTAGAACCTACCTTGCACTCACCACAAAGCAAGTAACTCGTATTGTTTGGCGTTTGAAATATACATTCAAGTTCAAATATTTGATTATGGATATATATATATGGAAATACACTATAATACAGCAAATTATGGAGTTTTCTGTAAGAATGCATCAATTCGGCCATATATGCCATTCCGAGTTCACGTAGTTCTTTTGGCATTTTTGGTCCACACAGTTGGTACGTCCAGAATATTTAATGAAATGGCCACAAGAATGCTGAAGCAAGTACCATTCCTGTGAACATGAACAAGTCATGTTTTGTCAATTTTAAGGGTACGACTATATGAAAATACATACCTTAAAAACACATTAAAAATCTTGTCGGGAAAAAAGAACTCAGCGTCCGACCGAGTGTACTCCCTGTGTACACCATGCTATGCACGTTACATGGAAACTGACTCGTATTATTGGCTAACGTAACTTAAAATCAATAAATATTGCTAGTTACACGTTTTCTTTTAATACTTAAGCCTACCTTAGTAGTTTTGTTGATACGTACGAATATACTTTAGACCTATAATCATAAACAAAATATGGTGGTGTTTATTATTGCTAAAATACACCTTGTCCACCATTTCCGTCGTCATGTCAATTCATGTCACGCGGTTCTCTGGAATTTCATAATTCACGCTATGCTACACAGGTGGTAATTATTCAGGATATTAGGTGAAAATGGCCACAGGAACGCTGAGGACTGAGGTTGAATTGGAATATCACGTATTGGTACGTATTTCTATATAAGACAATACTGTATCATCTTATGAATCAAAACGTATAAAAACAGATTAGAAACAGTGGAAAGTATCCACTTGCGCGTGCAAGTATATAAAAGTAGGCCTATATACGAAACAAAATTGTATTAAAAAATAAAAAAATAAAATTTAAAAAAAATAAAAGTAAAGTAGGCCGCACCTATATACGAAACAAAATTGTATTAAAAAACTTCAATAAAATATTAAAATGGTAAAATACCGGTAGGTAAAAGATGTAATATTTCTCAAAATAGGGGTATCCTCGGGGGATGGGATTAATACCGATCTAATAATTAAACCAGAAAAACGGATGGGGAGAGGAGGTATTAATAATTAACAACTACGTAATATGGTACCATTTCTTAGTAATCCAAACGCATCATTCATAGGTATGCAGTTAAATATTATTTTCGTTAGGCCTTTCATTATTCCGGTGCCATATCCCAGAAGCATCGGTCCTTCACCAATTGGAAATCCTGAATGTAAGATAGACGGATTTATACCGCAGATAGGCCTCTTAGTCTTCATTTTTTTTTTTTTTTTGATCAAAATTGTATTATCTGATTGCCATATCGCGATTGATAACTTTTTTTGAAGTGAAACAAATATTGATTTTCTTTTTATTATTATTTTAACAAAAAACATTTTTGTTTCATGTTGATATAAAATAAGGGTGATGCCTCAAAGGGTAGGCCCTATCAGGACTTGTTTTAAGGTAACTAAGTCTAAACAAATAAAAAGTGAGGGACAGGTACCGCTTGATTTTGGGGGGGGGGGGAGGTCCCCGACGAAAGCAAAGTCGGCGTGGTCCTGTATCGATTAAAATGTTTCAAAAGTGGTTCAGGGGTTTCACTGGCTTAATATATAGATACTCTACTAATATGTAGAAAATACATTTTGTTTTTTTCTCCCCGGCGAATTTTGGTTTTTCTTCTGTTTGGGGAGTGGCTGGGGAAACTGGAGGAGGGGGAAAGAAAATCCCCCCTCCCCCACCAACCCCGTAGCGCCGCCAGTGATTTTTAAAATTAAACTAGCTTCACAATTCGGTTTTGGGGTAAAAATGTGTAATATTTGACTATATTTTGGTCAAATTCGGCATTAAAATCTAAGATTCAACGTGGCAACAGTCATTCCGTGTAAGCCAAGGCATAGTATTTCTCATAAATAAAATATAGATCATTAAATTTAGCCAAAAGAGTCGTCAACAATTTTTCATGGTACTTTGCGGGTCACAACATTAACATATGTCATCAAACACATCATTTAATATATAAATTAAATAGCTTTCGTATGATACCAAATATATTCGAATTGCATTTTGTAGTTACATACTAGCTTCACAATAACATTTTGGGGTAAAAAGTGTAACATTTTCCATTTTTTGGCGGGAGATAACGACATACTTAACTCCGAAATACGAAATGGATGATGTCTGAATTTTTTTTCATGCGTTCAGTATTTGAGAACGTATCAGGCAGACAAAAGGTTGTTAGCTTTCTTTTCGTATTTATATAATAACACACTAAAATTTAGCCAAGTCATAAAAATATATTTTTTCGTAATTTATTTGCGTTAAAAAATTAACATAATGTGTTATCATTCACATCATTTGATAAATAATTTTATTAGCAAAAATATTCAAATTGAATCTTCCAGTGACGATGTACCTTTAAAATACTATTTTTGGGTAAAATAGGCCTACGTACAATTTGTAATTTTTTGATCAAATTGCCACTTAAATTGAAAATTTTGCGTGCCAACAGCCCATTCATTGTGGGCTAAGAGCTGGTGATGAGGATTTATGTTATTGCCAGCATGTAACAAATGATGCCCACGAAAACATAGGCTAATATTTGAGCAATTTTAATTTCTTGGGACCCGTCTAAAAATAGCTGTAGTCAAGTGAGTGAACGCCACGGCATCCGTTCAGTAGGCCTATACTCTATAGTCAATATGAGAATTACATATAAATGTGAGGACATTATATAATTTGTCATGTCGTCATCTGTACAATAAATATGGTACACTGGGGATATGTAAACGTGAGGACATTAATCAGCTGTACTCACGTGAAAGGAAATAATGCCCTCAGTTCAGTCCTCTATTGTCAATATAGGCTAGTAACCTGGGGATTGTATAGAAACGTGAGGACATAATCATCTGTAGGCAATTGAAAAGAAATAATGGCCCTATACGCAAAACTATACAAATTATGATAAACTGGCCCGGGATAAAATTATAAAAGTGTGGTCATTAAGGAAATCACGGTCCCTGTTAGTCCTCTATACAGTCATTATGTTGCATTGAGGATCTCAATAGGCAGGCTAAATAAGTAGCCTACGATCAACTTTTTGCATGTACTACAGAACTTCCAAACTTCCGCATCAGGATTTAGGATTTAGCAATGGGGGTGGATAAAGGGATATAAAGATCCGAATCTGCTTTAAGGCATTTATTAACCTGCAGAGGACTCTTCTGATCTGTAGGTGTCATGGAATACGGAAACAGCTGGACAATGGTGGGGATAGCTCATGGTTTCTACCAAAATTGGCCAATTTTTACCCTGATCGTTTTTCCCAGATTCGGCAAACATGGGCCTAATTCCGGATACCACCCGATTCATCATTATTTAGGCTTAAACTAGGCTTGAGTGGCATTTTTGTTAACCTGCAGAGGACCCTTGTGATCTGTAGGTGTCATAGAATACGAAACAACTGGAAATGGCGGGGGTCAAAAAATCCTCAAAAAAAAAAAGTATGAGCTATAATAGCTCATGGTTTTTACCAAAATTGGCCAATTTTTTAGCTGGTCGTCTTATCCCGGATTGGGCCACATGAGCCTATCTGAGTATCATCATCGCTTTTTAAGATTAATAGGTTTTAAGTGGCATTTATCAACCTGCAAAGGACTCTTGTGATCTGTAGGTGTCATGAAATACGAAATAACTAGAAAATGGCGGGGTCAAAAAAACGTTCAAAAAAAAATGTATGAGCTATTAGCTCATGATTTTTACCAAAATAGGCCAATTTTTAACCTGGTCGTGTTATAGAATCGGCCTGACGAGCCTAATTGATTGTCATCCGATTTATAACATTTATCAACCTGCAGAGGGCTCAGATTGTGATCTGTTGGTGCCCGAAATGAATACGAAACAACTGGAAAATGGCGAATCTAGGATTTAGAAATGGGGGAAGTGGGGGTGGATAATGGGAGGTGAGAAGAACCGAGCGGGGGGTGGGGTGGGATTGGTTTTGTAATTTTTTCAAAACCAAAAAACGGCGGAAAAATGAAAATTCGACTCAAGTTTTGAGACTAAGAGTGCCATTTCAGTGACACTGGCCTCACTAGAGGTGCCATAATCATAAATGTTCTTACGTCAGCCCCAACCATGGTGGGGCTGAGGTAGTATCCGCCTCTGAAAGTCCCTCTCCGAGCCCCTCTACTTCAAATTCCTGGATTTGCCACTGGAGAAGCAGACACACAAGACGAGTGGTCATTTTTTTTTCACGGTAAACGAGGAGGGGTCAGCCACCTTATACCCCCTAGATCCACGACTGCGCATTGGTAGGCCTATCCTTGTTTTATATTAGTTCTATTAATCTGATTAATTACAGCGTTACAGGGAGTGAAGTTGTTTTATTAGAAGAAAATAATAAGAATTAGGATTGGAGGCAAGCTTTAATCACCGAGCTACAACCCCAATCCCCTCTACATAATGGACCTTCCCGCTACGCTACGCCCCGCCCCTACAACGGCAAGGCTCCCTCCGCCTCTGCGTTCACTAGCTTCTTGAATTTTTATTGAATAAATTGAAATCGAAATTATCTTTATTACTACAATTTGTTATATATAATAAATACGGCCGAGATGATCAAACGATTAACTTTTGTATGAATGATTAGGCCTAAATCATTTTTTTGCACACATTTATAATACCATTCAAAATTATTTGCCGAATAAAATTGTGCAATTTTTAATTAGCCACGTAAATGATTACAAAAGATATGGAAGAAATTATTTAGGCCTATGTCCGAAATAAAATAATACGGAGGGGGGGGGGGCGCGAAACAAAAAAAATTTAGGGATTGCAATATGTAGAAAATACCTGCTGGGGCCCCATCCCCCTCCCTCGCTGGTGCCACCCGTGCCAAGCTCCCTGACAACCCCACCCTCCTCTCCCCGCCACCTCATCTGGATCGGTACCAAAATTTAATTATTTCTTCCCTGAAACATTCTAAAAAGTTCAGATCCATCGATGGTGAGCGTGGTCGGGTGTTGTTCAAAATGTCTCGAAAGTGGTCCAGCGGGCAGAGGCACAAAATATATTTTAGGGGTTTCAGAGGCATATTAATCGATTTTATAGATACTAGTGTCTACTTATTAGAAAATAGATATTTTGATGGTTTTCTTCTTTTTTGGCCCTTTTTTAAGCACAAGCAACATATCTTTAAGCCAGATTCATCTCAAACATTTTTTAACTTAGGAAAATATTTAATATGTTCATGGTATTTGATGGAAAAAGTTCTTTGCTCACAAAAGTTATTCGGTTAAACAATAGTAACTCTGGGTTAACAGCCTGATGTCCAAGATCCTAACTACATTAGAAACGTCATTAAATTAAATGAAAGTGGCTATTCTCAGCTTGGATCACCTGCAATATGACGGAGACTACCAACAATATATGTTGCAGTTATAATAATACTTTATTTGAAAACTTTATTTGAAAAATAGTAAGAGCTGGTGGCAGGCTTGACTCCCACCCTCTATAAATAACTAAAGCCGGTCTCACATGTTGTGATGTTTGCTGGAGCAAGGTGTTGAGAGGTAGTATGTATATGATACAACACTGAGTCATATGGAAGCGTCCGATATTTTAGATATATTAAAATAATTGTAGTCTTAAACGTTGTAGCGCAGCTTATCGTACGCAAAATCGCAACATGTGAGACCAGCTTTATGCAGTAAGCTATAAGCAGATACACAAAATACTGTGGAACACACAAGATGTGTATAAGAGACAGTTAGAAACGTCATTAAATTAAATGAAAGTGGCTATTCTCAGCTTGGATCACCTGCAATATGACGGAGACTACCAACAATATATGTTGCAGTTATAATAATACTTTATTTGAAAACTTTATTTGAAAAATAGTAAGAGCTGGTGGTGGCAGGCTTGACTCCCACCCTCTATAAATAACTAAAGCCGGTCTCACATGTTGTGATGTTTGCTGGAGCAAGGTGTTGAGAGGTAGTATGTATATGATACAACACTGAGTCATATGGAAGCGTCCGATATTTTAGATATATTAAAATAATTGTAGTCTTAAACGTTGTAGCGCAGCTTATCGTACGCAAAATCGCAACATGTGAGACCAGCTTTATGCAGTAAGCTATAAGCAGATACACAAAATACACACATACAATAGTGAATTATTCTAAACAGATTTATTAGCAAAAAAGCTCAATCTTCCTCAAGAAACAAATGTGTCTCAATACAATTATCTGGTATGTGCGTGCTAACCAGCGCAGTAAAAAAAATATAATTTTGTTTACACTAATTGTGAGTTGCTAATTCATATGTGCAACTAAATGGTCAACAATGATTTCAATTATCAGCATAAATTGTAATAATTCTCCTATGTTAAATGACAAAATTTTTTGTCGATAAAGAATGAAATTAGCATTGTCATTACTATAAAGGGAAGCAGAAAATGGAATGATTTACTAAACACATCTGTAATCTATAACTATATGAAACATCATAATCATTGCATATTCATAATTCATCAAGCTTTGATCTTCCTCATTCCATTCCCTTTCAATATTAAACATCTAATATACAGTAGTATTATGGAAGTTATAAACGAAAAACCTAAGTATATCAGGAAGACATAAAAACATGGTCAACACAAAAAACGTTAAGACTATATAAAAAACATTACAATATTAAAAGTGAAAGAAAATTAAAACCTCCTCCATATTCTTAATGAATAATTGTGATCAGAAGTCTACACTATATTTCATCGTAGCTCATCAGACTAGATTAACATCAACTAGGACATGTCTACCTGATACACACAGCCAGCCAATGCCAGCTATATTACTGCGTTGAGTATGCCTAACTTAACATACAAAAGAAGTCTTTAAACTTTAACAGAACAACTACGAAAGACATTAAAAAATAAAAACAGATAAAAACTGCATAAAAGATTAATATACTGACATGCAATATAATATAATACAGTAGATTAAAACTAAGGTCATGATTGAACTCCTATTTGAGGTAATACAAGCATGTTTAAATACAAAAAAAAAATCTTAAAATGAGATGTATGGATTTAAAAGTAAACCTAAGTTTATAATATATAATTCCCTCAATTTAATACCAATCGAAATTCAAAATCACATTTGTGCACAAAACCAACTCTAAGCTAAGCTATCAGTGAGTTGCAACAATTCCTGGTGGACGCACAGTGAAGTCAATCTCCTCTCCATTCAATACATAATCTTCCTGGACAGCTTGTCTGCGACGATCCTTTGTTGGCCTCATTCTGCATTTCACGGCTCTGGTGTTGGCATTTCTTCTTTTCTCGAACAGTTTACTTTTAGATGGTGTGATCCCATGCACCTCTTTGCTATGGATTGCCAGGTAGTCTGTTCTTGGGAAACCGAGTTTGCAAACATCACATTTGTAGGGTTTCAAATGGGTGAATAGATGCTCACGCATGTGCTGTTTGCACTTAAACAGCTTCTGGCACTCTTCGCTAAAAACACACTTGAATGGGCGAGGATCTCTAACACCCTTGGCTACATCCACCATAATGTAATAGTCTGTTAGATCAAGACCAGCTGGACCCGCTTTCCCAGTAATTGCTGGCTTATCTGGCGACTCTGTTTTGATGCTTGTGGTACTACTACTTCTACATTTTTTGGGTGGTGTTACTGCTACACTGGTTCTTGTCCTTTTTGTTTGTCTACGACGAGAAAGTGGAGAGGATTCCAAAGATGAAGCATCTGGCAAAGAGCCTTGTTCAAAGGTTTCACCAGTCTCTGCAACTATTATCTTTGATAAATCTACATCAGTTGCTGCCACTCCTGATGTTGGTGTAAAAGGACTGACAGCTACTTCTTCCTCTCTACTAATAGCTGATATCTTGTCAAGAGAATCATCATTAATTAAATTATTTGTCTCTGTTGTACTTGTACGGTCCTCTGTTCCTTTGTCATTCACAACAGGCTCTTCAACAGCACCTAATGTTACAGATAAATTTTCAGGTTCATTAAGTTGGTCGATAACATCAGGAACTGAATTTACTCCATCATGTGACTCTTTATTAACAGGTTGTTCATGTTGATCTGGTGAAGTATGTACAATTGGCTCTGGTGAACTATGTACATGTGTATTGGCAACTTCAGTTCCAAACATACTTTTCCCATCTGGTCCTTCCTTAACTATCAGATCTCCTGCTGTGGAACACACACTTGTAATAGTAGGTGTGGAAAACTCTGAGGAGCTAAACAAATCGTTTTCAGCATTTGTCTGCCCATAAAAATCTACTAGATCACCACCGTATGACCTCTTTCGCGATCGATCTCGTTTCTTAATGCTACCAAAACTGAATTCAGATGAGATTATTTGTCCATCCTCTGGTGTACTTCCAGGAAGCTGACTGGTCACTGGCATCAAACTTGCTTCTGGGATTTCATCAGTTGGCTTGAGCTTTTTACCTGACACCTTAAAGATATTCTCAAGTTCAGCATCATCACCAGAGAATCCATGACTTCTTCGCAGATGGTCCCCAAGATATTGCCAACGAGTAGTGCTGAATGAGCACTCTCCACACTTGTATGGCCTAGAGTGGATTCTGACATGGTCTTTTAAATTGTTACGACGCTTAAATCCTTTGCTGCATATGTGGCAAATATAAGGCCTCTCCGTGTACACACTGAAAACCTTTGGTGATGTCACACCATCTTGTTGAGTATTTTGCTTATTTTCTTTTGAATTAATTTCATCTGCTATTACAACATTCTCAAGACTACCAACTTCTGTACCAGACTCATTATGATTTTTATCAATGTGACTTTGCTGGTTATTACTTCCATAGACTGATTCTCCAACTTCATCATTATTTGAAATAATGCATGGACTATTTTGTTCCTCATTCTGGGTAATACCTGGATCTGGGGACTTCTCTGGGACAAGTCTGTTGACCGATGCTTCCAGAATATCAGTTGGATTTGAGAGTTCTGGTGTCACATATGTAGCCTTAAAATTTGAAGTAATTGTTTGTACTTTTTCACCTCCAGATTCATGATCAGTCAGTTGCATCTGTGCAACATGACCATTTGCCACGACTGCTGCCTGGTGGGATGTTCCTGGTCGGCTGGTTGTGTAAGCTGGTGGTTGCAGATATTGAGGTGGTGCATTCTGATTCTGGTATCCTTGAGTTTTGGAAACCTCAATGGCATTGTTATTGGTGTATATCTGACCTGTCTGTAAATTACCTTTCTGTTGGTGGTCATTTTGATAAGTGACGCTGTCTTGGGCATTGCGATCCTGATATAAGGCAACGTTCTGAATTCCATACTGATTATATAGCGGTGGTGCAATCGGAGAAATATTGGCAACAGGATACTGGAATTGAGAATTTTGCCTGGGTGACTGATGATGTGCTGTTTGATGATGTGGTGTTTGGTGATGTGGCGACTGATGGTGTGGCGACTGAAGGTGTGGCGACTGATGATGTGGCGACTGAAGATGTGGCGACTGAAGATGTGGCGGCTGATGATGATGTGGCGGCTGATGATGATGTGGTGGCTGATGATGTGGTGACTGATGGTGTGGTGACTGCTGGGACCTACTTCCATAACCATTTGGTGGAGGAAGGTAAGGCCAAGTAGTCCGCACCTCTTGCATAGGTTGAAAACCTTCAAGCATAGCCGTGAATGACTCTTTCTGTTGTTGAATTCTGATTGGGGGTGATTGAATGAACTGCTGCTGTTCCATTTGGCTGCTTTTTGGTGGGTAGTGAAATGCATTTCCATTGTATACGAACTGGTTCTGCAGTGCACCAGGTGACTTAAAACTTGGTTGATAAGGCACATTTGTAGAATAGTTAAGATCAGATTGACTAGTTAGTCTACTTGGAGGACTATAAAACTTTCTGATTGGTTCTGGTCTGTTTGGCAATCGAATAAAATTATTTGAAGGAGGAGCTTTAAGCATATTCTGTAAAAAGCTTCCTCTTTGTGTGGTTTGATCTGGCTGGTAGCTTACAGGTCTTGGTTCTATTGGCCTGCCACCAAACTCATAACCTCTTGTTTGTACCTGTCCAACTTGAGAATTTGCTTGATAAGTATTCTGATCACTTAGTGTAGGTTGATATGGACTTTGTTGACTAGATGGACAATAAGGATTAATGGTGTTATTCTGCAGACTGAGAACAGAACTAATGACTGGCATGTTGCCATCATTATGAGGTCCACAGACATTGGTTTCAGTAATGGAGTGTTCCCCAGAATTGATTAGTGATTCATCAACAGCGGCAATGTCTGGTCTTCTCATCAGTGGCGGCGGAGCAGGAAGCATTTGGTTGTTAAGCTGCTGAATTTTCGAAATGTTTTCAGATTCAGGAGAATACACATCAACTGGGAAAGGCTGGCTATGTACTGTTGGATTTGGTTCTGGAATGTCTTCATGTGACATGGGATTTTGCTCATTTGTTTTAGATTTTGTGGAATCCTTGTATTCTGAAGGAGTTTCAATGGGTTCATTTTCCTTGCTTCCTTCCACCTCATTCATTGCCTGGCTATCATGGCATAGAGTACTTGAGTCTTCAGCTTGTTCAATTTCTGGAATGTTAATAACATGCAAATGGTCCTCACTATTTAGAACTTCATTTGTTTCAAGTTTTTCTGCAGTGTGTGTTGAAACCCCTACATCAGAATGTTTCTCATTCTCGAGCTGCTCTTGCTCTAGTGGATCGAGCTGCTCTTGCTCTAGTGGATCGAGCTGCTCTTGCTCTGGTGGATCGAGCTGCTCTTGCTCTAGTGGATTGAGCTGCTCTTGCTCTAGTGGATCGAGCTGCTCTTGCTCTAGTGGATCGAGCTGCTCTTGCTCAAGTGGCTCTGTCACAGCAATTTCATCACTGTTACTAGCTTCTGCAATACAATCAGCTCCACTTAATTGAGAATCGTTTGAATTTTGATCACCAATCTTCAGGGAATCATTACCTTCTTGATTTTGTTCAATTTCCACAATACAATTTTCTACATCTAGAGTTTTGGCAATATCATAAGATTCTTCTTTTTCATCTGTGTTCTCGAATTCTTCTGTCTCATCTGCAGGACTATTACCAGAGCTTTGGCCTTGTATATCATTTTCTTGGTCAGGTGTTTGCTCTATCTTCACATTTTTTGCAAGACATAAATCTACTCTTCCACTGTATTTCGCAATCTCTTCCTCGTCATCATCATCAGGTTCCTTTTTAACTTCTGGTTTTTCTTCCTTACACGTTCCATCCTCATTAGTTTCTTGCTCTTCTTCTATATCATCACCTGCTTCCTTTTGGCTTTCTAAATTCTCAACATCTACATCAACAAAATTGTCATCATTACTTTGGTTCATTTGCATTGTATCATCATTTTCATCCCCATTGTTAATATTTTCATCATTTTCATTAATCTCTTCCTTTACTTCCAATTGTTCTGATTCAGCTACTTGAGATTTTTCCTTCTTTCGTCTTCTATTACTCTTTTTGTTTGCCTTTGCCATGACTACACATTTTCTTTTTGACTTTGGAGAGGTTAAATATTCTTCACCAGGTCGCTTTCTTTTTACTTCATATCTTGGACCATTATGTGCCGTTTCGATATGCTTGGCGATATTATCTTTCCTTGATGAAGCCCATCCACATTCTCCACATGAATATGGCTTAACATGTGTCTTAATGTGTTCCAGCAAGCAATGTTCAGAATCATAACCTTTTCCACAAATCGTACACACAAATGGGCGAGCTTGAGTTTTATCAAAAGAGCCGTGAGTGTCAATAAGGTATCGTGTGGTTGCGTGCATATCCTTCACGATTTCTATTGGTTTGCGGTCTGAGTTTCTACTAGAATTGGATGCTTGAACTTGAAGCATCTTTGCATCTTTCAATGCTTTAGAAAGTTCTTTTTTCACCGTTGCTAATTTCAGTGACTTTTTAGGGCGCCCTCTGCCACGCTTTCTCCTCTTTCTGCCCTTTCTCTTTGGATGTTCTGATATAATTTTTCCAACATTCTTTTTAATACCACTCATTTTAATTATGACTGGTTTTATGGGTTCTTTGGAAGAAGAGCTGTCTGTTGAACTCTCTACATTTGGTTCTTTAATCACCATTTTGTAGACTCCTTCATCATTTGATGTGATTTGTGTCAAGATAACTGGTTCATCAATCATTTTCTTTTGGTTTGTAGATTTGGTTTCTTCATCACCATTTGATGAGGTCATCTTTTCCTGGTTATGCCATGATTTCTCATGCTTAGCAAGATCCAATTCAGTTGCAAACTTTAAAAGACAGATGGCACAAATTAATGAATATTTCCCAGTTTCCTCACGTGATTTTTTAGTCTTTTGACAATATCTGTCATGGTGAATCAAGAAAGAGGATCTATGCTGAAAACTCAGATTACAGTCATTACAGGGAAATCTATGCTCAACTGCTGCATCCTTACGATCCACGCCAATTTCCAAATGCCTGTCTGTCTCAAGATGTTTAAAAAGTGAATCCTTGCTTACAAAGAGACGGCTGCACTCACCACATTGAAAAACAGACGACATAGCATTGTAGCGAGTACTGGGAATAACCTTGGGTACCTTGTTCACATAATTCTGAGGTTTCTTTACCACACTGGTGATCTTTCCTGTAGTGTGTGTATTCTTGTGCACTGTTAGAGGCGCTGATGTTTTTACAGCAATCTTTTGCTGTAAACTTTCCATAAGCATCTTACGGACAATTGGAGAATTTGAATCATTATCACCAATCTCTGATGGATCCTGCCGATATTGCTGAGTCATTGTCTGTGATGCCACCAGTGACTGATGGCCATACATGAGGGATTTTGATTTCTTTTGAGGTGGTATCCACGTTTTATTGACGGACACTTTTTGCTGTATTCCATCAATCAGTGCATTTTGGACAATTGTTGAATTTACATTAGTGGCAGGAACTGCCAACTGTTCCTGGTTGTACTGCTGCTGTACAGTCACTGTCTGTGGGATCATGCATGGTTGATACTTGGGTGCAATATCTACTGGACTACCGCTGGTCTGTGTATAATAATGTGGAACCATTGGTTTCTGGTAGGTGTGAACAGCAGGTATCGTCACTTGACTCGCTGCTTGCTGGAGAATAGCAGCAGCTTGTGCATTTGAATTTGGTAAATGCACCTTCACGGTTGTTGGTTCCGGAAGGAGCGATTTCCCTTCCCAATGTGACTTCACAGTCGGCTGCACCAAGTTGGTTCGGACTTGTGGAATAATCAGTGGCTCGGACGGCATGATTGGCTGAGATGCTACTGGTACAGTAGACGGAATTGTTGACTTTGCTGAAAGAGGCTGGTTCATACAGGCTACAGGAGGTGCTTCCGCAGTAGCACCTTTACCAACTACGACAAGATTTCCTGACGAATCCATTTTCAACATATCCCCTCGTTGCAAAACTATTATTGTTGGTTTTGTTCCAGCCCCCACTGGGGAGGATGATGGTTGCTGGGTTTGCTGCTGACTACTCATATCAGATACAGCTCTCTGCGATGCCTTCAATGAAATAATAAAAATACATAAATTATTATAACATTTGACAATATCGCATTTGGGAATAAAGAACATAATTTGATGGAAAGGAAAATAAACAAGCTGATTTACGAATATGTACATAAACATACATATTTAATAATAATATTAAATATATGTAGCGCACAAGAACAAGCTTTCACTAGCTCAAGCTTGTGTTTCAATAAAGTTTGTTAGTCAAAAGAAGATACAGAACTACTGTACTTCTTTGTATATCTTAAGACACTACATAGAACCTTGCTTTCATGTACAGTACAGACTAGAGGGCGTAAGTAAATCTGGGGATTGAATTTTTAAACCAAAGGCTTATTTCAGGCGGAGTCCTCCTTGTAGTAGAATTGGGTACACATAGTTACCAACCAACACACATAATCAACGGTTGGTTGTGACAATGAATGCACAAGACTGCATGCGCCTCATTTTACTAATTGCGTGGTTGGCCGAGTTATTTTGGTCGAAAAAGAGACATTTTCTCGAATTGATTCTCGAATCCATTCATTCATTCAAAATCATTTCAAAATGCGGGAGTGCCCCACACAATGCGAGATGGTTGGTAACTATGGTAGTACACCAGGACACAATCTCCTGTTTTTTTGCATGATGTATTACATTCTTTAATGTGCACATTGGGTCATACGACCAACGGCTTAAACGTCTCATCTAAAAGAAAGTGTGCTATTGAGACTAGCATATCAGCAAATGAAATTGAATCATATCAAGGTTATTAGAAAACATGCACAGGTCAGTGCAACAGTGGCAACAATAAGTGTTTCACACACTAACATAAAAGAAGGGCAAATACGTACCTGTAAACTATTTTCATCATGGTGCGAAGTACTTTGGTTCTGCAGGAGTGGATTTGTGATAGCAACAGCCATATTTGAGTTATTTGGACTAGCAGAAGCCTGCCTAGAAAGAGTTGTGGGTAATGCCTGTATTTCTGGGGAAACTTGGATATTGTTTGTATGGAATGGTTCATCAAAATGTGGTTCAAGTGAAGGGCTTTCACTGCCAGTTAGAGTGTTCGCAATGTCACAAAAGTCTGTAATATCGGACGCAGCATCGATTAAACTCTCAATCTTGTCAAACTGTTCCAGTTTTGTCGGTTTATTAGCTTTGCGTCTGCGCGACAAAGAGGCCTTAGATTGCTGCAAAGAATTATTTAAATTTGAATCATCACCATTGTTTTCTTTAGTGTCTGTTGTGTTTGTCTCACTGATTGTGGTCTGCTTACCACTAAGATTTTTTAGAATAGAGTTCAAGTTACCAATTTTTCCAGTCTTTTGCGGGATTGATTTGGAATCGTCTCCATCTATCGTTGCATTTTCTTCCTCCATATTTGGTTTTGGCATTGATTCTTGCTCTCCCCCCACATCAGAGTGGCTAACAACTGGGGGGGCATCGCAATCACTGGTATCATTATCACATTTAGCACCATCTATTGTCATTGAAGTTGATGATACATTTTCTCTAGCAAGAGCACCCTGGTTTATTTGACAATCATTAGTTGAAAGATTTTCTGTAATACTTAATTCCTCCATATTTCCTGGTTTCTTAACTTCCTCTTGGTCATATGTAGTAGATTCTTTATTATCACTTTCATTTATTTCAACATCTGTAATATCAGCCTGTTTCACACAACCTTCTTTGTTACTTGCATCTAGTGTTTCTGTAGAATTTTTGACTGTTTTTTCTTCTTCCGTTTCTTTTCCTTTCTCATCCATCTGATGATTTGTGCTGGATACTGTCAGAATGTTTTCTTCTTCACCATCAGGAAGACTAGGCGTAGGCAGCTGTGCCACAACTTCCATTTTCATACAAGAATTCAATTATCTCTGAAAAATTAGAAAAAAAAAAAAAATTAAAATTAGAACAGCGTGCATAACTATATGGTAAAAAGCAAGCTGTAGGCTAAACACTCACTAGAACACTGCAATACCTTAGAAACGCAAATCTGATGTAAGCATAATTAGAAAATTAATCTTAAAAAACACGTTTGGGGGGGGGGCAAGTATTTTTTTGGCGGGGCGTGCGCCCTCGCTACCCCCTAGATACACCACTAACTTCAATGATTTGCTCTTTTTTTTTTTTAATCAATCCTTATTCAGCATATAAAAAATGTACAAAAATAGAAAATAAAATTTTAACCGTTTTAATTTTCCTCAGTGGCTCGGAACAAGACGGTGAAAGCTCTTTATTACAAAATAAGATAAAGTAATAAACTTCATAAAAAATTACTTATGAACGTACATACGTAAATCAAATACCATAACAGTAAACAGTACTAAATATTATTACACATCTAAGAATGTTGACATTGCTTCCATGTTATAATACAAACCTGTTGAATTTATTCAATACATAAAAGAACTGGCTGCAAACAGAAAAGGATACCCTTGAATGGTATTGTTACTAGAATTTTTCATTCACTTAATAATTGTGTAATTGTAATAATACTGTACAGTAGCTGAAATAATGGCAAAGTGTGTTTAATCCATTGTTTTGCGAACACACACTGCCACTATTTATGATTTCGGAAAAAAGCAAGTTTGTTCTTGGCCAGTTTGAGTGTAATTTGATCAGTCTTATGTATGCGTTATGTACCAATTGTAATCTCTCCAGCACTGATGCTTCAATAAAAACCAAAGGTAGTGGCACAGGGGATTCAGGGCCCAACAATTTTGTGGGAAGACCAGGGCTACAAAAAAAAAAAAAAAAAAAATTAGGCTAACACAATAATGAATAACGCGATATATGAACAAAGTTACTGAACCATGAAAAAAGCCTCTCAATAATGTTGTTGAATGTTACTAACTGGTTACACTACATAGATTGTACAGAGATTTCCTGTGCAAATTTCTGGCCTTTCCAATGTAGTACAGTATGTACTCCATAATTTCAATGTGATGTGATTACTTAACGGTTGGAATCATTTTCATTTTGCCATTGAGTTGTTTACAACTGCTCGGGTGACTGCAGAGACATACTGTAGTACATTTTCCTCTACTCAAAATGCAACACAAAGTAGGCCTACTGAGTATATTTGTCAGGATCTTTTTAAAAAATGAATAATTACATTACTAATTTAATACAAACCTTTTAAGTATCATTTTAAAACATTAATAATTAAATCATTGTTGCTTATTTGTAATAACAGTGAATTGTGTTTTACGCAGTGCACTTTGAGAGTCTTTGATAAACAAGATTTTTAAAAGATCGTACAGTAGGAACTGTCCGAATACCAATGTTTTCTAACTACCATTTGATAATTAGAAAGCCTAATAACGACTTGAAATTGGAGATTTCTGTGGAACTATGTTAGTGAAGATTGTGAATAAACATCGTAATCTAACAATTTTATATACTGTAAACCTTGTTGAAATATAATCAAATTGCACACAAGTCTACTGTAACTAATGTCAAATCATTTCCCGACAAAACGCATTTGGGTGTGATTAGAAACGTGCCCAGATGACTTGCTGGTGATTGGACAATCCTTGGTTGTGTACGATATTTCTACATAATACGGAGCAAGCTACATACATAAGTAAATGCTGGGAAGGAACTAAACTTTCCTGTTAGAATCCGTGGTATTGTAAAGTTCCACCCTGTTACTACTGTGTTAGAAATAAGACATAAATACTTACAGTTATGTCTCTCCATTGGGTTAGGGCGCCTAATTACTCCAAAATATATTGTTAAATTAAAATTATTATACTAATAATATATGATTATATGAATATGACATTAACACACAAGGTTAATAAGAAAAAGTATGTTATAATTTAAATTTTATGACATTATTTTGTTGATTTTATCAATGGCATAGAAATCAAATCTAAGAATCTCAAAATCGAAAAACTGTAAAATCGATGTTCTTAAAACGGACGTTTGAATAGAGGGTACGCGACATTAATTTGAAGATAAGCAGAAATTAGAATCTGCCTCAATTTATGTATACTAAAATATAACTTTTTGTTCCATAATGCACTCAAATTTTTTCCACTGTACTCTACAAACTGTGATTCATTACACAAATGAAAATAAAATTATATATGCGCTGAATATCATTTACACCTTTGGTTTTCCACCCGGGGTTAAGAACACACTCAATATCATCAATCAAAGAAGCAGACGCCTGACTGTTGGCATTTAGGCACTTGTGTGGGTTCAAATGTGACGACAACATATTGTAATCACCGAAATAATTCATTTAACATGAAATTCTTCTTCTGTATTGACTGGGAATTTCAACAAAAAAAATCTTGGCATAATTTTAACAAGCTTTTTTCAACCCAGGTTACATGGGAAGGTCCCTGGAGTTCTGGGATGTCAGTTGGGTCCCTACCAGGTAGGTTTATTATATTTACAGTTGGCCGTGATTTTGCTAGTAAAAAATGAAATTGCTCAGTAGCCTTCAGGCAGTACGTGTTAATTAAGAAAACAAATCAAGCACGGCTAATACTGATCCAGCTGGGAGATTGTTTTGTCAGAGACCTATTGTTTGGCCACACCCTGTTAAATGTAGCTTATTTTTATTAAGATAAAATCACCAATGTTCTATATAACACATATTACTTGGTAATTTTCAGGTGTTCAATTTTGATGATCAAAAGAAACTTTTATAAACACAATACACTTACACGATGTTTCGCCAAAAAAGAATATAACCTAATATTTTATATAAATTGGATCCAGATTCACTTTTTACAACGATCTTTAGATTCATTTTGTTAAAATTACAAAAGCTAGAAAGATATTTATCAAATTTTGCTGTAAAATTTGTATAATTATTATAATATTGTCATATTGTGTTTGTAAAAATGTATTTTATTTAACATTATAATATGTTGATGCTAAAATGAAATAACTCAAAAAATTATTTACTTGAAATCTAACGTACAACAAATAAGATAAAACCAAAATACTATTATGTCATTTACTTTATTCCCAAATAAGAGGTTAATTGGCGTTACTTTGAAAACACAAATTACATTACTGTAGGCAAAACATGACAATACAAAATCCGAAAAACACTGTACACTACAATGCCAACATCTTTTTTCACTACTCTTTACTTTTCTTGTGATAATGAGAGCAAAATTGAGTTAGAAATTTCAACTGACTTCATAAAATCTGTAATCATCAATTAAAATTACATACATTGAATTTTATCAGCACATGGTATTTGGCACAATTGGAATATTAATATTCTTTAGACTTATTATATCGCAAAAAAATGTGGTCATAACATAAACAGCGAGAGACGTTCTCATGGATTTTACAACGTGGCTGATTCATGCGTGCATACAGAACACAATTACTAGTTGCTGTGCAGAAACAGTACAGTTGATGCTTCACTTACAAAAACAAATTATACATGAGAAGAAAAAATATTCAACTGCGCAACATAACGTCTACACGTTAATAACGTAGAATTTCTAGTGGGTCCCTTAGTAGCTGCAAACAGCAACAAATTAGATTTCCCTCAGTAGAGTCATTCATAATTTCCTGTCTTTGCACGACGAGGTCAGAACACGCAGAAAAATTCTCCTCAGGCGCAGCATTTCGGCATCGATTTGCCCTGGCACTGTTGCGAATATCAAAATTTTACTACAAATTTCAATGTATAAGAGAAACAGAGTAAAAAAATTACATAGTATTTTAAATCTAATATAGTAATAAATAGTTGCAGATGAATTTTATCATCACTGCTAAAAAAAAAAAATCAATTCTTTGAAATTTCTAGGAAATACGAAAACTATTGATTATTTTACATCACTAAAGTAATTTTGGAAGCGATGAAATTTAAAAAAAATGTTGATTCATTATTGCAAATACACACACCATCAGAATCTAAAAAGTAGTTTAACGTTACATGTAGTTTTTGCGAAGGGCTACAAGTCACTAACAACAAAACAAATATTTCTAAAAAAGTGATGGCTAGACAGATGGATTCCACAAAGTTTGATATTGTGTTACATGAGCACACTCTTTATTGATACTGTCATTTATTCAATTTGAATGCATTAATGTTTACCTTACTGTACTAAATTAAAGGAGCATTCTATGATCATAATATCAGATAAAAATATGAATTTGCTTCTTAATCACTGACATTAGGGGTACTGTAATCTACTTTATTACTATAAAGGGATCTTCCTTACTCTAACAAACGAGTACATAACAAATTTTACCATCCTCATCTTTCATTTTAGAGCTTAAACACCGTCAACTCCTCCCTTTGCTTGCATCTGTTTTGTACACTCGTGAAAATAGATGACCCTCTTACCTCGCTTGTTAATCCGATAACAATAGAAATCACTTACAATCCCAATTAAAGCCCTCAAATAAACAATAAATTTTAGATAATCATTTTATTAGTGAGGTTCTCCAGCAGTGCACAGTTTGATAAATTCACCACTCGCTTTGATTAATTTCATTATCTATATAACTATTCAATTTATAAGGCTGCAATTAAGTAAAGGGGAAATGCATTATAATTTGATTTTGATGGTGTTTAGGGAAATCATATTTTTCATGTTTTATCTCTGGAGTGGTAGCAGAAGCATGTTCTGTTCACACTATTAAATTTACTTATACAAAAAAAAAAACTGTTGTATGCCCAAATATAGTCATGATGTGCATATATATGGTCATGAAGTGATGTCATCATGACCATATTTAGGCATGAAGTGCACTCCTGCGCACTGTGTCAAATTTCAATTTGTTCTCAGTTTCTTGACCCTTGACCTCAAGGTTGATGAGTTAGAAGTTTAATGGTCAGTACAAGGATGTCAGCGAAAACCTACAGCTACTAATACTTAGTTCTCAAAAACAAAAATTAAAATAGTGGTCATCTCCATTCTTGCAAAGACCTTGAATTCAAGGGTGTCGGCAAGACTGCTGGAGCTAGCTATTCAACTTGCCTGGGATCTGTCGCAGGGATCACGTCCAACTTTCATATTCTGTCGATTATTCAGAAACATGTATTCGTATTATGCAGCTGGTATTTGTTGACTAAGTAGAGGAGCCCACCAACTGTGTGCGCTTGTAGCGTTAAGCATTAATATTCCTGATTTTTATTTCTAGATACATCCCGTTAGATAAATACAAAATATAGCAGTGTAACGAAATATTGCTTACAATACAAGTGAACTGTACTGTAACATTTGTATTGCAAGAGTATATAGTTCAGAACTAATTAATAATACCAACAACCTTATAATAATACTTTTAATTGTTAACAAATAAAATATTTTAAGAGGATCAGATCAAGCCACCACCATGTATTATGTATTAGTTTAACAAAGTTTTGACATCAGATAAAACTTTTGATATACAGTCCAATATCACGTATAAAGTGCATAAATTAATGTTCGCAACACTACTGATATCGTAATCATTTGACCAATGCGCTAATAACTTTGCATGCTATGACCATGAATCGAATGCTTTATAGATACGTTAGCAAAAAAGATAAAAAAATTATCTATGAAAATGGCTGGATGTGCTTTGGCTACTTGGCTGGCAGTTAGTCAACACGCAGTTTTATCAGTACACATGCCAACCAACTTGAAACTGCCATTCCTATAATTTCCAGATGCCTATCCAAGCATTAAAGTGAAGTCCAAGCAAAAAATTCAAAAGCCAAATTTGTGTTACGTTTAAATGGTTAAACAGAAGACGTATAAAAAAATACCAAAAATTCAAAACTCACCAATTAACATTTGTTAAAATTCATTTTCGATGATAAATCTTGTACCGAAAGTGATAGTACAGTATGTCTCTATTTCTTGTTAGTGGGCTTTCGTAGATTGTCACAGGAAGTTCTAAATAGAATGAAAAAAAAAATGCGAGATGAAATAAAGCATAAAACTACAAAAGCAAGTATTATGTTACTCAAATCATAACGTTTATTATGCATATCAAACAGAAATCCATATTCTGGTTAGCTGGCTGAAATTATGGTCAATGTTTAGAATTTGCAGTCCATAGTATTAGATACTTTTGTAATAAATGCGAGAACATCAGACAGGCACACAAGGTGTTGAAAAAGCATTTCCCGGTTAATACGGTTTTAAAAAAACCCATACGGTTTATGAACGAAGACTACATGACTCATTTTTATCTATTAACGTTTCTTCAATTTAAATTTTGACTACAATTTTATATAATTTGTGCCATGTATTTCTACTTCCAATATACTAAATAAATTTTTTAATATGAGACAATACAATTAAAGGAGGGGCATGTGATTAAGGGATTATCTTAAATCTATATATCCTATAAAGGAAATAAACCTCTTGCCTTTATTTAAAAATAATAAATAATAATAATACTTCAAAGGTTTTAACAGAAAATCATGTAAACATTAACATCTATCTATCTACGTTGGTGGTACAATGTCTAAAGAAACACACATGTTCAGCTCTTACAAAATTATGCAGCTCGTTCAACACATTCTTACGCAAGATTAGAAATTCTCCACATCGCATTAATTCCATTCTGTCCAGGCACTAGCGTGCATGTAGCAGGCTGGAAATTGCAATTGCCAGACACTAACAAACATTTGAAAAAAGAAATTCTTTTTCATGTACCTCTTTTATAATAATCTACATTATTTCAGTATCAATGCAAATTTGTCTGGTTGATTTTTACAAAATGAAAAAAACATAAAAAATAATTCATTTGTCTATCGATGACCAGTCTGAACTTGTTAAAAAAAGAAATATTTCCTGAAGGGTTCACTAAAAGACTACGAACGCCATTTGATGTTAGACTTTGAACCGAAGGTCAAAATCAAATTTGAATAAACAGTGTAAACAGCTTTAATGAAATTGTATACACTGCGAGCAAGGATAATATATAAGAAGGTTATAATGGGAAAAAAAATTTTTTTGCAATAATCAATTAATTAAAAGAGCAATTTACCACGAAACCTAACATTTAAACAATTTTTCACATTTCAAAATAATTAAATGTCTTCGTTTAGCATTTTCATCAAAATGTACCCCCGTAACATATACCAATAATATCAAATGCTGTATAGAAAATTTCTTTCTTCACAAAACTGTAATACATTAAAGATATAGTCTCGCAATATAAACTCATGGTTATGACGTTACTATGCAGATTTTATTTAAACAACAAATTCCTGATTGGCAACTGTGGCGAATTAAGACAGACAGATGGTGAAACTTTACTATACTAGCAACAAAAAAATGTTTTTAAATTCCCATGTACTTTGATGTAAAGATAATGCGAAAAGTCTTACAACAATGTCCCTTTAAGAGACAAGCAACTGAAAATGACACGGTGACTACGATCATCAACAATTCATTTTTGTTATTATACGCATGAAAGCGAAACCTTTTTTCTGGCCTTTTATTTTTTTAGCAGGCGGATTAGTTTCTGTGAAGTTGGAGTATTGCAGTCCGTCCCTAACGTATGCGAAATCTCAGCCGCGTGATGCCTACTGCACAATCACTACATCACATGTTTATTACTAAGCACTGAATAAAAAAAAAATTAAAAAAAACTATAGTACTTATGAATAGAAAAAATATATTGACCGGAAGGAAAGAAAATGTTTGTTGTTAACGTCAGACAATTCAGCGAAAAAGAAATAATTTTTTTTCAAAAGTCTAATAGCACTTTCATCAGTCTAATTTGCTTCCGTACCCAATCTACGAAATGGTTCTGTCCGTAACCTTTGACAAGCCAACCATCATCATGCACAAACACGGATCAATTCACACGAGATACGCTTTCCATATAAGGAGCCAATGTTTGCCAGCCAATGAAGGACACAAGCTAAATGACCTTTGACTGGGAAATTCTTTGCACACGGCTCGCCTAGACAGCTTGTTAAGTATAACTGAGGGGCCAAAAAAAGGGAACCACAAAGCAAACGGACCAGAGTTTAGCATCAACTAACAGCAGCAATGAAATGGCCATTGTTTCCTTATCACTTGTGGATTACAAGTGAGGAAGTCTGCTGAATAAACTATTGAAAGAAATGGTATACAACGTCTATGTAGCATTGTTATTATTTCAGATCTTTTCTGCAAAATTTGAGTATTATATAATCATTCTTGTTTTTGGACATAAATGGAGTTTTAATTTATATAGAACTACCAAAATAGCAAGTTACAATGCCATGTAGACACAATTTTTAAAATACTTCTTGTTACTGTACTGTACTGAAAGAGCAAAACACGTCACACCCAAAACCAAAAATATAGTTTAAAATTCATTGTTTTAACATGATCTAGTACTGTCCGTACAATTAATGTCATTCACTATCTCATTTGGTTTTAAATCTATTGCAAGGTTGGAATCCTATATAAATGTACTGTAGGCCTACATCATCATTTATCATCAATTTTCGGGACTAATTTTTAATCTCACATTTATGTAATTGATGACAAAATTTATAGTAATAATTTTTACCAACCCCCCCACCCCAAAAAAAAACTTTGACAGGAGAAAAAAGACATTTAGTATGTCATTGAATTAATAATTATATTTAAATAAAATAAAACAATGTTCTCTTATAATCTATAAATGTTTTTCTTAATACTTTGTATGTCCTGTATAACTATATAATTTTACGACATTTTTCCCCTCTGTATTTTAAAAAATATTGTATCTTTAATGCATACAAAGCTTACAATACTCATGTTCTCATAATTGTGATTATGAAAACAAAATACTTTGTGAATATATTATCTTGTGACTCTATCTATATTCTATATTTTTTTTAGGGATTACAGTAATACACAAAAGATTTACTCTTTCTGTTGCTTAGAAGGTTTATGCAATGTTATATAACAATTAGTTCATTAACTAACAGGTCAAATTAGCATGGATAAAGCATTATACCTCCATGGAAAATGCAAGACACCCAAGAGACGATAGTGCCAAACATGCTACAATTTTCATATTACATTTTTTTCTTTCTTTATAGTATGTTTCTTCTATTCATGCCAATATGGTTCGTAAAAACAACCCGGAGGCGTGTCAAAACCAAATAATGAAGATAACTCTCATAACAAAGCTGTTTTATGAAAAAATAATTAGTTGCTTACTACTTTCTAAAAAAATACTTGTTGTAAGTTGTTAAATTGTAGACTGTAGTCAAAAAGACAGCAAATTTCGCAGTACATGGTAAAGTAATTTCAGTATTTCGAAAGCCCACAGCTTCATACCAAGAGGAACATTCAAAAAACATTATACTGAATAATGTGTAAGCATCAGTGATGGTGGGAGTCATTCTATCCATTTGTCTGGCAACTCAATTTTCAAGGGCTTCAAAGCCCTCAGGACTTGATAAGTTGAAAAACAAAAATCCAGAAGAGAGACGATCAGGTTTGTACAAACTTCACTTTTTAAATTATAGATGTAGAGTTTGTACTTATTTTAAAATGCCTCATCCAAAACGAACCAAATATGGTAAATATATAAATATGAGCAACAAGTAATTTTTTTGTTTGTTTGAATCAATAAAATCGAAATATTAATATGGTAACGGTAGTTATTATTATGTTTTGCATGTCTATATACAGAAATTAGTCTCATGAAGCACAAAACCAACTGTTAAAATTTAAAAACACAAACAGAAGATTCAATCAGCAATGTCTTCATTTTGTTTTCTCTTGGTGGACTGTCCTCTATAATTGTTTTATGATCACACAGCTAAAAGACCAATTCCACAACCTTCCCTTGTGCCTCTGACCAGTTAGCCTTGTACATTTTAGCCTTCTTGTGGTAGCAAACCCTATCTGTTCCCAAGGGCACCCATCTGGCTAATGCAACAAGGGAGGCCAGCCAGTGAGCAAGGCTTATTCTCAACACATGGTCAGAATTGCTCCTAAAAAGATGGGAGAGATTTTATTCTCCTCTCTCTCTCTCTTTCTCTCAAGCCTACTCACTTTCCGTGTTATATTTTGTAGACTACAGTTCAAAGGTTATTGTCAGAAGACTTCCTGTTTATTTCTTTACTAGAATAAAGCTTTTACAGGACCATTTAAAAATGAAATACCTCATTTTCTTACATCATTTTATGCATGAAAAATATAAATTCTATAAACATATAAATAGGTATAACGTTTCTCTTTAAAATATGTAATTAGAAAATATCTATAATATACCAGTCCACATAAAAAAAATTTGACTACTGTTATATGTAAAAAAAAATTATAAGGAATAAAATAAAAAACATTGCTGCACGGTTATTATCTCATCTTTCATGACACATTTTGTAGCCAAAAAAACCCCAGAAGACCGATTAATGTATTGATATGTCTGGAAAGTGACATCGATTCCAGTTTGTTTTTTTGATGAAAACGGATACATCAAAAACAAAAAAAAAATAATAAGAGTGGTAACGGTTGACTCTAAATGGTTGATCTCTTAATATGGACAAATATCAACTGCATGTACTGCGATATTTTTACTGGTAGGGAAAATCAACAAAGCCGACGCAAACGACGGGCTGCTAGTTTTGGCATAATGAGATGAAGGCGGGAATAAAAAACAGACATTGTTAACGAGATCGCTTCATGCAACTTTGCAGCTTACCAAGTAAGCGTGAAAATTTACTGGCAAATACAAAACAATAGCTAAATTTATCAATATCAGAATAATCTACAGTATGGCTTATTTTATGCACAGAATTTATGAATTAGTTTTAAAACGTATACACATTTACTTCTGCATCACGTTTAGCAAACTTGTAGAGTTGACTAACATTAAATCTAGATACAGCGAAAAATAAATTGCTTATTTCTGTAACATTTAGATGTTCATTATTAAAAAAAGATTCTAATCTAATCTTTACTAGCCGCGT